TCGGATCATTTGGAGATGCTGGTGCAAATGGGCTACGTGGTGCTCTTCTCGGCCGCCTTCCCGCTGGCCGGGGTCTGTGCGTTAATAAACAACCTGATGGAGATCCGTTCGGATGCGTTTAAGCTGGCCCACGTGCATCAGCGGCCGTTCGGGCAGCGCGTGGCCAACATTGGCACCTGGCAGAATGCGTTGAGCATTTTATCGCTGGCCGCGGTCATTGTCAACTGTGCGCTGATTGGCCTCTCCGGGCAGGTGTCGCGCCTCTGGCCTGGCCTGACCACAGCGCAGACCATAATTTTAATCGTTACGCTGGAGGTGAGGGCGAATGGCAATCGTTTATATTTAAGTACATGCATAAAGTTTTAATGTATTTGCTGTGTGCAGCACATAATGCTGGGCCTGCGGCAGGCGTTGACTTGGCTGCTGCCGGAATTGCCCTCGTGGCTGGCGGCGGAAATAGCGCGTGCCGAGCACTGTCGCCGCGAGATGCAGTGCAAGGGCACCTCGCCCCGACCCACGCCGCCGACGCCGCCGTCAACCACATCCACGCAGCCGGAGCAGGAGGAGGTCACTGGCGCCGAAACCACGCACGATCAGTCCATGGAGAGTCAGCTGGCTGAGGATATGCTGCTCTATGGCCACGAGCTGGGCGCCGGCTATGGCCGCAGCATTGAGGCGGATGTGAATATATACGAGAATCGTGACTCTTCGCCCGACTCACCGCCATCGCAGGTGCGTGCAATGCGCAAATACATTATAATTATACATATATGTATATGTGTATGTGTGGAGTATATTAAAGCTAAGAGTTGAATCACTTTCAGACTAGCACCATACTCATAAGACCGCTGCATGAATCCACGCCGCCCCACGGTGGCGCCTCGCTGAGCAGTCTGCATCACGATGGCAATGGGTAAGTGAAGAAGCCAAGTCTTGGCTCTGGCTCTGGCTAAGCTCTTAAGTATTTTGCACACGCCAAGTTAATTAAGACCCATTGCAATGGCTAAATAATATGACTGGCATACACACAC